TCTCAATATTGCCAGATTTGAACTTCAGGCCAAAATCACATATTCTCATGGTATGGACATTTTTATAAATTCCTGTACATATTTCAGGACTTTAGTCTTTTACATAATTGTCCATGTTTTGAGGATCTCCTGGCATCTCATTTAATTACTCATCCATGAGTTTAAGGAATTGCAGGTTCCCTTTTGTATATAGTGATGGTTTACCCAAATGGTTAATATTTATGCATACGTCACTATTCATGTATATGGTACTATTCATCAGGTCATGAATACGTATCTATTCATGCGTACAGTACATTTGCCAGTACAATTACTATTCATGTGTACGGCACTATTAACCAATACGGTACTGTTACATTATCAAGGAACTCCAAGTCCTTATTTACATGTCAAGGATCAAGGATCTTTAGATCCGATCTCTTATTTACAAATACAGTACCGGAGAGACTGCCATCTCTCATATCATTATCATCATCAAGGATCTTTCAAGTCCTGATGTAGTTGTATGATGAGGATCAAGGAACTTCTGGTCCTGATCTCTGTATTCTGTAAAAACTCATCATACCGCACAATTAATTCATAAAATAAATTGCTTGTAAATAAATTGCTGGTATGGACGATAAACCCGCACCATACTTTAAATATATGTAAATGTGCGGTAAAGTAAAATTCATAAATGAAATTGCCTCATGTATGGACGTTAATCCCGCACCATACTTTAAATAATAAAGTAAATGTGCGGTAAAGTAAACGTGCTGGTATGGGCACTAATTCTGCTCCATACATTTAAATAAAAGTAAAGGCAGTTGTGTGGACGATAAACCCGCGCCACACTTTTAAATAAATACTGTTGTATGGGTAATAAACCTACACCATACAGTAAATAAATTAAATGCGGGGTTAAAAACCACCGCAAAGTGTAACCGTCCATAGAATTACTATGTATATATGTATGGATATAATAAATCAGTATGTTCTCATAGCCCATGAAATTTTACATGGGCCTTATATATGTAATCATGCAGGTAAAGGAACTAGTGCATGATGAATATCACGCTTGTCTTTTTCAACTTTCCACCTGCCACCAGCACACAAATGCACTAATGTCAATATTAAGTAGTATAGAATAATAATAAGATAATTGAAAAGATAAAGGAAAGCTCATCCTTTCGGTGGAATTCCTCTCAAAACTAGAGGAAATAGAAACGATATAATATTATTATATTAATATATAGTGCTAGTCTGCCTTCCGTTTGTCTGCTCCCTTAATTGATAATTTCATAAATAAAGTAGATGAACATGAACCTGCACAAGCTTCTCCTGCATACCTTTACTTACTTTATAATCAATATGATTATAGGATTAATAATAAAATAATAGAGAGTATAAGGGGCAGAGAGCTTATTGATTATTCTTTCGGTGGGTTTGCTGTTCTCCTTGGAAGGTTTGAAGATTTGCTTCTTCTTCTTCCTCTGCTTTCTTTCTTGTTCATGAAGTCCCTGGCAAACCTTTGCTACTTTGGTGATCCTTTGAGCAAGCACAATTAGAGCAGCAGAACGGTGGCCACTCAGTGGCTGATACTGAAAGCAAGGCTGGGTTTGGTGGAGGTGTTGAGGAAGTGTATGTTGAGGATTGTGCCACGGAGGATCAGGTCCTCACACCATGGACTGCCTCTGTTTCAAGGTGATACAGACAACTCTTTGTGAAGCTATGAAGAGTGACACACAGAGGGAGAGATAGAGAGTAAAAGGGCTGAGACAGTGAGAACAAAGCTTCACAGAAGCTGTATTGATATACACAGAAAGAGCATGAGCAACTCAATCAAACCCAAGAAAGAAAAACAATGAAGCAGAGTGTTTTGATTATAAAACTAAAGAAATTGAAGAGAGAATTTAGAGAATTTTTTTTTTTTTTTGGTGAAAGAATTTAGAGAATTCAAATAGCGATAGGAATGCTCTTCTGATATTTTCATTATTTCTTTCTTTCTTTCTATATTCTCTATCTATCTCACTTACAAAATGAGAATGAAGCCATAGTTTTTATAAACAAAACTTTGGCTAACTATTCGGTAAATAGAAAACCCGTGAAGGTGTGTGAGATTCCCTTCTAATCATGTGGGCTCCACTCAAGACTTTACAACAGAATAGCCTTTAATTTCCATTTTTGAGAGGTGTCGTCGCTAAGCCCATTAAAGTGTTGCCCGTAATGCTAAAACATTTAGGCAGCCAAAGTAAAATATTTCTATAAAAAAAAGTTAGTAACACTCAATTACTATTAGATGTTTGATTTTTCAATCAAGATACATAATAGTACTTGTTAATTTGTTTTTCAACATAAAATGAGTTTGCTAACATATAGGATTATGTGTGTAATAGACACAAGTTTGCTAAATACTTACAACTTTCTCTTGTCTGAATCTAAAACCAAACCCACTACAAGGGGGAGGTGATTCCTCACACACATAAACTACTATACTAAGCTGTCATAGGATTCAAATTTGTGATAACTAATCTGCAAGTCAATGTCATTTTCCATTGGGCTAGACCTGTTGGGCAGCTTATATGCATTCTATAAATTTTAAAGATGTACTAGCAAATTTGAAATGAAGTCTTGCTTTATTATTAAGATGTAAAAAAAAAATTATATTTTAGTTTTAATTTTTCTTAATTAATTAAAATAACATGTATTTTATGGAAAACTACATAAAAAATACAAAATTAACTCAAATGTCTATGCCACTACTACACTTAGTCAAAACCTATCAAGAGTATTTGGCATTCAACAAAATCAGAGTTCTCAATTACTTCGATGAACCAAAATTGCACAAGTCCATCATGTTACAGTGGCATCCTGAACGAACTAATTTAAGGTCTTTCGCAACTTCATGGTCGTTGTCGTCCAAAGAAAGGGTTCATATACTCAATAAATTTTATTGGTGAATTCATAACGGGGTTGGACAAAAGCAAGTGTGAATGAGTTGAAAAAAGACCATTTCATTATCAAACAGAGTGAGAAAGAAGCAGCTGCAGCTGGGCGGCATTAGACAAAGACTAGACTTGATTGAAAACTCAGTTATCAGTTTTCTTTTCTTTCTTTTTTTAATGTAGGCAACTTCCTATGGCTCTCTACCGTGTTGAAAAAGGACCATCTATGCTCCTAAATCTTCAAATTGATCATAAATATCTAAAATTTTTTTTTGGACAAATAATATTCTAAATTAATCTAATTTACGAGAAGGGAGATCGAACTTACGTGCAAGAGAGTAGGCACACTGAACTTAGGTGCAAGAGAGCAGGTACATTACTGTGGCCAACTGGCCTAACCCACGTTTGCACATCTAACAAAATTTTCTTAATTTCTTCCACAAGTAAATTAAGGGTGGACATTAATGTCATAGCCTTTATGACTATGTGAATCATGTCGGCAGGATAAAAAGTCTTGGGGAATTTGCATTGCGTTTTCCTTATCCATCAGATGACGAACTTCATTTTCTTCTTGTGTTTTGTAGTGTAGACTTTGTTTCAGAGTCTTTTCGCCAACAAAGAAAAAAAAAAGGGATCTTTTCATCGTAACATCTCATACTCAAAATTCTCAAACCCATAAGTTTCATCCATCGCATGGGTGTCATAACAGAAAAGCAATGTATGGAAATTTTTTTTATTTTTTTATTTGGATATGCATGCTTACCCAAATGAAGCGTTTATAAATCATACATTTTTATAAACAAACTAAAAAAAAAACTCAAAAAATCACAGCTGCCCCTATTGAGTGTTTGAGTCTTTTTACGAGATTTTGGGTTTGGGCTTCTGTTAAGAAAACAATGGCAGTTTTGTAATTATGGGAAGTTTAAAGTCTCTTTGTTATATTATAAATGAGGTTTGGGTGTGTTTCTAAATCCATTTCATATATAATTTTTTTATAACTTGAACCCCTATATTAGGTATAATGGTGAATCTCCCTAAATAAAATGAAAAAGGAGCATATGGTATTTTTGTGATTTTAATCGTATGTGCATATATAAGACTTGGATATTGCTCAAGCTCCTTCAAGGAACAACTCCTTACATTTTCTTTGATTGCTCGCTTCTCTTCAGAAACTATGGGAGAGGCTTTTCTTGTGGCATTCCTTCAAGTGCTGGTCGACAAGTTGGCGCAGCGTGAGGTCTTCAAGTACTTTGGACTCATAAAGGGCGTCGACCAAAAGCTGCCGAAATGGATTGACACTTTGTCTGAAATTAGAGCGGTTCTGAATGACGCAGAGGAGAGGCAACTAATCACCGAGAGCATGCGGCTGAAGCTTTGGCTGGATGATCTCAGGGACTTAGCTTATGATTTGGAAGACGTATTGGACAAATATGCTACTAAAATGCTCAAACGGGAGATAGAGCAGGGACATTATGCCGGCACCGCAAGGAGGGTCTGGAACTCATTTCCTAATGGTGTTTTCAACTACAAAATGAACTCAGAAATACAGAAGATTACTGAGCGTTTACAAGAGATATCTCAGCGAAAGGACCAGCTTAGTTTGAATATCATTACTGGGACGACGTTGTCTACTAAGGCACGTCAAAATTTAACTCCCAGTTCCAGTCAACCAGATGGACCTGTGATTGGAAGGGAGGAAGACAAAAGGCGGGTCGTGGAATTTCTGTCGAAACAAGAGCGCCATGCCGTCAATTTCGATGTAGTAGCCATTGTTGGTATGGCTGGAGTCGGAAAGACAACACTTGTTGCACAAGTGTTCAATGAAATTGATGCAACCCAGCAATTTAAACCGACTGCTTGGGTATGCGTGTCTGATGACTTCAACCTAGAAAGAGTGACAAAGAAAATTCTCGAATCAGTCACATCCCGGCACTATCCTACAGAAGATTTCAATCAGGTTCAACAGTATCTGCATAAGGAATTAGTTGGGAAGAAGTTTTTAATTGTTTTGGATGATGTTTGGGGCACATGTAGCTATGGTCTATGGATGAAACTGCAGTCCCCCTTTCGCGATGGAGCAGCAGGAAGCAAGATAATTGTGACAACGCGTGATGCAGAAGTTTCGAAAATGATGGGAGCTGGCACTCTAGTTCATAATTTGGAGCCTATGTCAAATGACGTTTGTTTTCAAGTATTTGAGCAGCATGCATTCAGGAATGTTAACAGAGATATACCACCAAATTTCGAGTCACTCAAGGAGAAAATTGTTGCAAGATGCAGTGGATTGCCTTTGGCTGCTAGGACTCTTGGCGGCCTTTTACTTCGTATAGAGATGAATGAATGGGAGGAAATATTGAACAACAAATTATGGAGTCTATCAAATGAGCGTGACATACTTCCGGTATTACGATTAAGCTATCACTATCTTCCTTCACATTTGAAAAGATGCTTTGCCTATTGTTCGATACTTCCAAATGACTATGAATTTTGTGAGCAGCAATTGATTCTTCTGTGGATGGCAGAGGGTTTGATTCACCCACAACCAGAACATAATAAGCAATTGGAAGATTTAGGAACTGACTATTTTCAGGAGCTCTTATCGAGGTCATTATTTCAGAAATCAAGCAAAAACAATTCAAATTATGTAATGCATGACCTCTTTGTTGGTTTGGCACAATGGGCAGCAGGAGATATTTGTTTTAGATTGGAGGATAAGCAAAATAGCAATCATATACAACTTGGATGTTTTAAAAAGGCCCGCCATGCATCCTACATTTCTGGTATGTATGATGTGGTTAGAAGATTTGAGGCATTTTCTGAAGTGGAACATTTGCGAACCTTCCTACCAGTTTCAGTTAATTATCCTTCAAATTATCTAAGTCGTAAGGTTACTTTTGATTTATTGCAAAAATTGCAATACTTGCGGGTGCTTTCTCTCAATGGCTATCGAGTAACTGAGCTGCCAAATTCAATTGGTAAATTGAAGTATCTGCGGTATCTTGATCTTTCTCGCACAGGGATAAGGAGTTTGCCAGAATCAACGACCACTCTTTACAACTTACAGACATTGATATTGGAAGGTTGTCGTTATTTGATGGCACTACCTATCAACTTGAGGAATCTAGTGAATCTGCGCCATCTCAACTACTCATTTGCATATGCATTGAAAGCAATGCCTCCGCAACTAGGTCGGTTGACAAATCTACAATCTTTGTCTAATTTTATTGTGGGTAAAGGTAGTGATCAATCAGGTATAAGAGAGATAGGGTCCCTATTCCATCTCCGAGGGACATTGCGGCTCTCAAGATTAGAGAATGTGATCGATGCTGAGGATGCACGGAGGGCCAACTTAAAATGCAAGGAGAGACTTTATGAATTGGTCCTAGAATGGTCGGATAACACACAGGAAACACAATTAGGTGTGCTTGACAGATTAGAACCTCATAGAATGCTCAAAATTCTGGACATCAAGGGTTATGCTGGACTAAAGTTTTCAGCATGGATTGGAGATCGTTTATTCTCTACTATGGTTCATGTAAGCTTAAACAAATGTCAGAACTGTAAAATCTTGCCACCACTTGGACAGTTGCCTTCACTCAAAAGGCTTTATATTACAGGAATGACTGCAGTGGAAAGTGTTGGTCCTGAGTTTTATGGAGAGAGTAGCTTGCCTTTTCCCGTACTAGAGGATCTTTGGTTTTCAGAGATGCACAACTGGAAGAAATGGCTTCCTTTGGCACAAGATCAGGTTTTCCCTTGCTTGAAGTTGCTTTCAATCACATTTTGTCCTCAATTGGAGGGTAAGTTGCCCGAGAACCTTGATTCATTAGAAGCACTTACAATTATTAAATGCGAGGAATTGGTGATTTCAATTTCCAAATATAAACAAATTAGTGCATTATACATCATCGACGGTTGCAAAGCAGTGGTGAAGACAAGTGGCGTTGAGTTTGAGTTACTAAATTCCTTGGAACTTTCAAATATTTCAGAGGTGAGGTTCCAAACAGGGGAATTCACCAAAGGATTAAGGAAGGTTGCTAATTTGACGATTGGCGGATGCGAGGAGCTGACATCTTCACTGAAGAATGAGGATAGAGTATTGCAACACTTGATTTCTCTTGCTTCCCTCCTTCAAAAGCTGGGAAAAGAAGCAGAGGAGTTGCTGCAATTGCAAATATTGACTTGCAAGCTTCAGTATCTAGAATTAAACAAGTGTGGAAGTCTTTCGAAGGTACCAGAAGGGTTGCATCACCTAACGGCTCTTCAAGACCTTCAAATAGTTGGATGCTCAAGTCTGGTTTCTTTTCCAGATATTGGTCTGCCTCCTTCCCTTGAAGTCATAAGCATTAAGGAGTGCGATTCGTTGCTGTATTTTGCAAAATACCAGATTCCCCCAAATCTAAGAAGAATAGAGATACGTCGGTGTAAAAGTTTGAAATCATTAGTAGAGAACGAGGAGGATAGTTCTTCGTCTTCCTCTTCTTCTCATATTTCTCTTGAGCACTTGAACATATGGGAATGTGAATCTCTAACGTCGTTATCATTGAGAGAACAGTTGTTTCCCAGGGCGCTTAAATACCTTCACATATTCCATTGTGGAGAGCTGCAGTTAATTACGTCCGATGGGTTCTCCCAAGACAACACTAAGTATTGTCTTGAATATATTATCATCGGTTCTTGCCCAAATCTGAAATCGTTACCGGAGGGCCTATGTCACCTCACCAACTTGAGACAAATCTACATCAAAAATTGCAACAAATTGGAGATGTTACCGGACATGTGCAATCTCAACTGTCTTCAGGAATTGAATATTGATTACGGTGATGGTTTAAATTTCACTTCCTTTCCGCCCAGCCTAACATCACTTATAATCCGCGAAATCAAGAATTGTAAGGCGCTGTGGGGGTTGTTGCACAGGCTCACCTCTCTTACAGAATTGTGCGTCAGTGGCGAAGACCCATATGTTGTGTCGTTTCCACTCGAAGGTGACACGGATATGGATATGGAGATGCTGCTCCCCGAATCTCTCACTCATCTGTCAATTGAGGGCTTCCCAAATCTGAAGAAACTGAGCAGCAAGGCCTTTCAATTCCTCACCTCTCTTCAATCTCTTCGACTCCGGAATTGTCCAAAGCTGTCATCTATTCCAGTGGAGGGCCTGGCTCTTTCACTTTCGCAATTTTATATCTCTGGGTGTCCAAAGCTATTTTGGTTCTTTATCTTTAGACGAAACTTGGCCAAGATATCCCACATTCCTTGCATCGAGATAGATGGAACTCCTCCCAGGTAGTTCAAATTTTAAACACTATCAACCTTTAATGGGTACCATGAAATAAGAATGTCTTATTATTTTTTCACATATTGGTTTTCTTCAATTCAGTTGGATTTTACAACAATGTCTGTTTCCCAGGTGGGTCTTTTTCATCTAGAGTTGCTTCAAGCAGGACTCGGACTAATACGATTTATCGTGGAGATGGTAAATCCATCTTTATTTCTCTTTATGATATATTTCTCTCACTTGGTTTGCCTTGTAATATTTTGTCATCTCTCTGCTGAGAAAACTTTTAGCCATATTTTTCTTTCTTTCGTTTGTTTGACTTCAATGTCTTTCCAAATTCTTTGTGATGTAGGATCATATCTAGGTCAATTTTGTCTGCAACTGGCGGTGTTGAATGACACGGAGGAGAAGCAACTGTAATGTAGGACAAATCATGGGTTTGTTCATACGAAGGAAATTTGAAAAAGGGGGAAATTTGAAAATCAGAAAATTGTGCTTCAAATATAGAAAATCATGCTTGAGCATCAATTATGGCGCTGGGAAAGAAGGAAGATGTATCGTTGGGATTTTCGGGTTGCTTGATTTCTTGAGAATTCTATATCATATTTATATTTTTTGAATAAGTTATCAATTAAGATATTATTTTCCTGATATGATTTTAATTAAGATTTTAATTATTTTCTTAGTTAAGTTTTAGGAATATTCTGGAACCTAGGGTTTCCTACGATTTTAGGTTTTTTTTTTTTTCTATTTAAGTCAACTCATGGCATTGTATTAATCAGTTTATTCATCTTATTATCAATCAAATATATATGAGGTTTACTCAATGTTCTAGTGGATTCCAGTTTGTTGTTAGATTCCAACATTGTTACTTTAGGGTCGTTCGATCTCCCTATTTCTTATATCTTGCTTCGTCAAATTGACGAAGCATGGTGTGAAATTGTGGCTAGATGATCTCAGAGACTTGGCTTATGATGTGGAAGACGTGCTGGACAAGTTTGCTACTAAAATGTTGAAGCGGCAGATAGAGGGACGTGATCAAGCCAACATAACTAAGAAGGTGCGGAGTTCATTCTCTGAACTGAAACTCAATCTCGATATGAACTCTCAAATAAAGAAAATTACTGAGCGGTTGGGAAATCCCCAACCTACCATTGAGATTTACTCTTTCTAAGACCTCGATAAAATGGGGTGGCACATATTTCTCCGGGACCCATGCTGCAAATGGGAGTCCTCGCATGATGTCCGGTCCAGTGTGAGAGGGTTGAAAGAAGGGACTGCCTCTCTTGCTCTCGGAGCTGCAGGGCGAAGATCTGTGAAAGGACTGGATAGCAACAAGGTCATTTCATATCGTGGTAACATCAACAGAAGATGGTAAATCACTACCTTTCTGTTGCATGTTTCAGCTGTTTAATATTTTGCCATTTGGTTTGCCTTGTAATATATTTTTTTTCTTTTGTTTGCTTGGCTACAGAGTTTTTCCAAATTCTCTGCCTTTTATTCAAGTTAGTAGGTTTACTTAATCTTAACTCAAGATTTGAACCCTGACCCCTTTACTTTCTTTAGAGGACTTGTAGATCTAGTTTTTTTTTGGTTGGGAGGGCTTCAATTTTTAAAGGACATCAAATAACCAAGCGTTGTTCTTTGTTCTTTTAAACAGAAATATCGACAAATTCTTGATATTTGCACTGAGATATTATATGATTTACCAAATTATCTTGTGAATCATGCTGAAAAATACAATTGAGGTTGCCGTGTTCTGTATAAAGAATGTGCTTCTGCATTGGCAGGAATGCTTTCAATATTCAGATGCTATATATACAGATGACAGAAGCGGATGTTGTGCCGGAAGAGTCTTCAAACTCCCATCCCTTCAAGCTTCTCAAGAGACCTCTGCAGGGGAATAGTAAACTCGTATGGCTCATGCTCCTTTTCTCTCCAGATGTTTTGCTTGCTCCTTGATATTGATTCGACTGCGACGTCTACAATGGTATTGTCCTCTTTGCAGAATGAGTTGAAACCATCCATTGCTACTTTCAGCAGCAATGGGAGTTATCTCCAAATAGGCCCAAGCTCAAAATTTCAAGAGCAGAATCCTCTTCCTTTGCAGCAGTAGGTGACAGTGGTGCAAAAAGGACTCAAAGAAAGATCTGCCCTTCAGAGCTAGACGGATTGTTTTATTGGGCCATGTCAACTCACTAGGCATTTGTAAACAGTTCATCAATAGGAGATTGTATATATGACGGATGAATCTAAGAGTTCAATTATTTGTGTAGTCAATTATAATTCATATATGTCAAGATTTAAACAAAAAGAAAATAAAGAAAACAAATGAATTTCAAATGATTTCTCGTCCCTGCTATCGGTGTGGGTTAATTGGCAAAGACCATGCCTGATCTGATTGTCCACCCCACCATGATGGAAGCATATGTAGCCGATATCTCTTGGTTACTAGTTTATTTTATAAATGCCCATCTCTTGCATTTTTATCATCAAGACTCAGAAGGTTACCACATTGTAATTCCATAAACAAAATCAATATCCACACAAAAATAAAATTACTTACAACAATCATGTAATCTACCCTATGCTCTAATCTCGCATCTTTTGAATTCCAACCCACCGTGCATAATCAACCCACCTGTTCCACAATATAAAGAATCATGAGAATAGAAGAGGAAAACACAACCAACTAACATAATGAGATTCAAGGAGAACTTAGATCTTACATCAAGGACCCCAAGAATGTGTTGCCTGTTCGAACAGCAAAGCAAATTGCACTTAGTATAATCTTGTGTTGGTGTAGCAAGGGTTCTAAAATTCGTTGTTCGATTACTCCAGCGAGAACTTGGTACCTTTAAAACAAAAGGTATATCATTATGCATGTTTTCAATAGTAACAAAAATAAATTATTATCATTTCTGACTAGCCTCAACTATTTATGAGCAATGATTAAATAGTAGTGTCATTGCCAAATTATTATCATTTCTGACTAGTCCTTCTCTTAAAGATGGGATGCATGTTTCTTTAATCCCCCTTATCCAACCAACATCAATTATCTTGCCTAAAAAGGAATTTCCGTACAGTAGACAATTGATATATAAAATTTATAGTACAACACTCATACATTCCACAACTATATATTGTTTAATTTAATTAAAATACTATTTAGAGACAATCTTCCATATATGACACGTATACGTTGATAAGAACAAAATTTCTTATAAGATTTTGCGTCCACGTGGCAATGGTCTCCAACGGTCATGACCAAGAGTTTTTTATAATTTTTTTTAACAACACTTGAAAACATTTATTAAAATTGACCACAATTAAAACATTTTTTAAACAACACTTGAAAACACCACATTTATTTAAAAAAAAATTAAAAAGAAAAAAAGAAAAAAGAGGAGAGAATGGGTTTCAATGGTCTGATTCATGACCAATCATATTTTATACTTTTCTCTTCAACAACACCATTTGAAACAGAGGCTGTTAAAAATATATATATATCCAGCTATGACATCAACTTGCTTTACTGTTGGCTTTTAAAAAGCAAATGCATGGGCCCACAAAAATTTGGCTTAGACTAAAGGTGGGCTATATGTGGCTTGGTTGGAGGGCTAAAGGGCCAAATGTAGCCCTCCAAATTTGGCCAAAATTTTATTTAGTCCATGGCTGGAGATGGGTTTTGCATTATTTTAGGGCTATATTTGGGATATAGCCCATGACTGGAGATGGTCTTTAGATAAAAAGCTTCTCGATAACTAGAAAGGCCCAGTTCCATCCAGAAATGCCACAAATGGTTTTTTTGGATAGATACTACTCTCCATGGATATGATAGTTACTCTTTAAAATACCAAGTTTCTTCAGTCAGTCTTGAAAAGTTTGTAATGGTCTATGCTGACAGTTCATGAAGGTTAGAGTAATAATAAATAGATTACTTAAATCTGCAGAAAACCTCCGTACCTTAGATTGCTAGAAACTGCCATATAAACTCCATAGGCTACACTAGTTGATATTATGGGAACATCCTCTGCTTCACCAGCAAAAGATTTATCGATAGCTTTTCGTGCATTAATCAATGCATTTGTTACACCCATACCAACCTAAAAGAAAAGAAATTGAAAAATTGTAATCAGTCATGACACCAAACGGCTACTAGCCTACTGAAACTGTCAAGCATATAACAAACTGGGAACCACATAACATCATGACACCTGTATAGCCATCACATGAGTGGGAAGCAGATTTCATATGTGCATTCTGCAATGAAAAACTTATAACACGAGACAAAAACAATCTAGTAATGTACCAATACTCCCATTTCTTTCACTAAATGCATATAATATTGTAGACAGAAATTGAAAATGAAATGTACTTTCAATGGCCATAAAGCACACTAGAGCCTCAGAATTCATTTATAAGACTGGTTGGAGAAGCTTGTGCCTCTGTATATTATTTGGAGAAAAAAATTTACATCTCTATTATTGTTGAATGTTGATACAAAATTCAAATCAATGGAGCTCTACCAATGGTGTAGTTTCTTTTTGCCAAAATGCATAGGTTGAAATTTAGATAAGCCAAGCTCAAACAACCAAAGGTACACTATCATTAAATTAGAAACAGTCGAGGATTATAACGCTTAGTAAAGAATCATTTTGATAGACATATACTACATAAGTATCCTATGTGTTCAATACAATTTGCTAGTAGAGTTAGTTTATGAGGCTGAGCAAAAGTTGATATAGTTTTTCCTGCACAGCATGATGCTTCAGGGCTTTAAATACAATATTCTCATTAATTATATATATATATATATTTTTTTATGGCTAAGTAAAAGGAAAATCCAGCCTTGCTTATGATGCATGTTGTATAAGTGTTCCAATACAACATGCAGAAGATACTTTAGGGTTAGCATTGGAGACCCAATAATATGACAAGAATATAAAGAACCCAGGGCTGTATAGAATTGTTCATCAATGTTGTAATGGTTGATGCAACGTTAAATTAAAGCGTACATGCTCTATAATATAATGAGTTAGTTACAGAGGGTAAAATAGGTATGGAAAGTATTTGGCTATTGCTGAAATTTCACTCACCAGAGATGCACCAGTCCCGACTGCAAATAGTTTAGCTCCATTTCTCTGAATAAAAGATCAAAATACTATAAAACTCCAATGCACATACCACTATGAGACATGAACATGACTGCTAAACTGTTAGATAGCACATACCACTATTGCACCTATTCTCTGTAAGAGTGAGTAAGATGTTCCAGCCAAAGCTACCTGCAGACAGGAGTGATGACTCACTTGTTATAGTCATATGACAAAGTGGCAACTTAAAAGGCCAAAACTAATGAAGCAAGCACTAACCTGAAAAGCATTATCAGGACACCCATAGAAGAACTTAGCAAGACGCCCTGCACTGACTGTAAGAGGAGGTCGAAGTGAAACAGTAGGAGCAGGAAGCCAAACAAGCATAAAATCGGCTATAATGGCCATCACCTGAGATTTAAAAACAAACATATTAACAGTAAGGCTGCCAAAAGGTGCAACAAATAGAAACCAGAAACCCAACAGATAAAAAAGGCAGAAATAGATAGCATGAAATGGTAAACGGGACACATCAGCTATCATCAAAATTGAGGAAAACTTCCAGTTGTTACGAAGTTGAAGAAGTGCTGCAGATCTTTTGCACTCCAAGCAACACAAAGTTTAAGATATATGAAAGCTTATGACTAGAAAAGGAACTTTCCTTTGAGATTAATAAGCCTTCTGAAAGTAAGTATGGGGGAGTAATCAAATGAGTAAACAAATTTAAATGA